CTCTGGTTTCCCTCCCCCCCCATCCCTTCCCTCCTGGCCTCACATGCTCTCCTTTTCCTGGGCACGACCCACTGCATCGCCTCCTCAGCTGTCGTCCGTCCGTCCAACTCAGAGGTGGCTTCTCTGAACTGCTGGCGGCGGGCTGCAGAGCCCCAGAGTGTGCTGGTCAAGGTGCCGGCAGGCTGTGGCTGCTGACGGACACTGTCGGCCCCTATGCGCTTGCTGGCCTCTGTGTGCGGAGGCGATGGTGTCAGGCAGCAGCCACTTCGGCCCCTGCCTCACCTTGCCCTGCGACAAGGGCACCCCCACCCTGCCTCGCCTCGCCTCATCCTGCAGGACGAGCCTCCTGCCCACCGTCCCATCTGCCAGAGACCCCCTGGATCTCCCCCAACCCTGCCCGGCCCCCACAGGCATCCCTCCCCACGAGCAACATCGAGGTGACCATGCCCACCTTGGCCAAACCCACCCAGTCTGCCATGACCACCACAGCCATGCTCACCCAGTGGGCCATGCCCACCTGGCATCCGGCGATAAATAAGTGGGTTTTGCATTGCAGTTTGGGCACTCGGTCTCTAAAAGGTTCGCCATCACTGGACTAGAACTATGATATTGGAAGCAATTATTTGGAATTTTTCCAATAAATATACTGAATTGTCTTGATGTTACTTTTATTATTAATTCAGCATGCTTGTGTAAGTCCTTCTATTATTATTTTTATCAGATTTGTAATTAAATGCATTTTGAAAAGTGTTGAATCTAGAATCGGTTCAGTTATTAGCCACTATAGCTTTCTACAATAATATATAAGGTATCATCCAAAGTAAATGTCCACCCACTGATCCATATAGGGATTAGAAATGTTCCATGGTGACCTGATTAGTTTTGAAAATAGGACAACAGTATGGCACAAAAAATAAGAAATATTGGCCGAGGAATCATGTAATGAATAAATTAAAAAGTAGAAAAGAGGTAGGCATAAAACAAAACTTACCCTGTTTCCAAGAGAAATAGAAATGTTGGTCTGGATATGTAAAGCATGTTAATCCATAATTTTTTTGTGGAGGTTATCATATGATGTGAATCTAGCCATTGTATTTGCAAAACATGGTTTATGACTGTATTATGCAAACTGAGTTAACTGTAGTTGATTTAAACAGATTTACCATCTTAGTATGTTTATATTAGTATGTTGTGTGTATCCAGGCATTGGTACCGTGATACCACTTTATTCATAAGATTTTGTAACGGTCCAGAAAAACTCTGGAGGTAATATGGTAATGAAGATAAAGAAATACTGACTACATTATTGCATAATGCTAACCCAGAATTTTTAAGTAATGGCTTAGTTTACAATTATTGTCAGGTATAGTTGGTAGCTTCGTATAATGATGTACCAGCAGTTAGAGAAAGAACAATATATACTTGCACGACAAATACACAAAGACAGTCAAAAGCACTCAAAAGGGTTCAGAAATTAGATTTTCTAGATATGTGGCTATACTGCAAATCACTTTCTCAAAGAAACCCCCAAATAGTCACCCATAATGTTTTTGTTATACTGTCCTTAGTAATGATGTTCAAAATCCAGTGAATGGGGCGTGCACTGAGTTGGGACATAGCCATAGTGTATAATTAGTTAGTTTTGTCAGTCAGAAATGATACTGTCACATTCAAAGAAAGTCAAAACTTTAGAATAATGCTACCTTGTTTGTCCTAGTAAAGATTTTCTAAACTATTGTTATTATCAATACGTGAGAACTATAGTTTAAAACTGAATTATTGCTGTCAGAACAGTGGCTTGCTAAAACAAATCACATTATTATTGCTTTACATCCATACTTCTGCTGTATGCTTCTGCTGTGATGCCATTACTGCCTGGCATGTATCTGAGAGTGTTGATGTGGTTGCGGTCTTTGTGGTACATGTTTTTATAGAGGTGATGGTAGGAACACAAGGGAACCGGTAAAAGTCTATTTGCTTATTTTGGCATAGTAGCATACAGTTACGTTAGGAAAAGTTTTAATTTTAACTGAATTAAATTATGATTCAGAGAATAAAATAGATTTTTAAAGAGATTTTACTTTTTGCCTTAAAATACCTTTAGAGCATTTTTAAATCACTGTCCATGAAGCTTGTATAGGCTATTTTTCTTTAAAATATAATTGCAATTGATCTCCCTTGACCAATTATTTGTCCTCTAACAAAAAGAACTGGAATTCTACTTTATTGTTATAGGGTATGATAAGGGTAGTCCTCAACTTACAATAGTTCATTTAGTGACTGTTCAAAGTTACAACAGCACTGAAAAAGTGACATGAACTTTTTCACACTTACAACCGTTTGTTTTTTTAAAAAAACAGGCATTCAATAGGGGAAACTTTTAATGCTGCAGTTCTCAGAATACAATTATGTTACAGGTAGTCCTCAACTTATGACCACAATTGAGCCCAAAATTTCTGTTGCTAAGTGAAACATTTATTAATAATAACAACAACAACAACAACAACAACAACAACAATAATAATAATAATAATAATAATAATAATAATAATAATAATAATAATAATAATAAAGTTGGAAGGGACCTTGGAGGTCAACTAGTCCAACTCCCTGCTCAGGCAGGAAACCCTATACCAGGGGTCCTCAACCATAGCAACTTTAAGACTTGTGGACTTCAACTCCCAGAATTCCTCAGCCAGCTTTGCTGGCTGAGGAATTCTGGGAATTGAAGTCCACAAGTCTTAAAGTTGCCAAGGTTGAGGACCCCTGCCCTATACCATTTCAGACAAATGGCTGTAGAGTCTCCTCTTAAAAACTTACAGTGTTGGAGCATTCACAGCTTCTGGAGGCAGGTTGTTCCACTGATTGATTGTTTTAACTGTCAAAACATTTCTTCTTAGTTCTAGGTTGCTTCCCCCATTGGTTAGTTTTCCATCTGTTGCTTCTTGTCCTGCCTGTTAAGTCAGTTTGCCCCATTTTATTTATGACGCTTCAACCGTCATAAATATGAGTCAATTGCCAAGTTTCTGAATTTTGATCACATGTCCATGGGGATAGTATAACGGTCATAAGTGTGAAAACTGGTCATAAGTCACTTTGATCAATGCTGTTGTAATTTTGAACTGTCACTAAATGAACAGTTTTAAGTCGAGAACTACCTGTATTTGGAAACTTTGGAAATGTATAATTACATTAGAAGGTTTTTGATACTATGATATTAAGCATTTTGAACCAAACTGCTAGAAAATCTTCTTTACTTAGTAAAAATAATCAAATTGTACACAAATCAAAGCAAAAGTAATTGTATGAATTATAGATTCCAAACAGTTAATAACCTAAAATGTACAAATGCAAACTCATCTGGTATCAGTCTCTCAGTCAAGGTAAAGATTAGTACAACATTATGTGAAGAGTTAAAAAAAATCAGTATCAGAAGGAAGAGGCTATTTTTCTTTAAAATATAATTGCAGTTGACTTACCTTGACCAATTATTTGCCCTTCAATAAAAAGAACTGGAATTCTACTTTATTGTTATAGGGTATCATACGGGTAGTCCTCGACTTACAACAGTTCATTTAGTGACTGTTTGAAGTTACAACGGCACTGAAAAAATTGACTTATGATCTTTTTCACATTTACAACTGTTGCAGCATGCTCATGGTCATGTGATCAAAATCCAGATGCATATTTATGATGGCTGCAATGTCCTTGGTCATGTGATCACCTTTTGTGACCTTCTGACAAGCAAAGTCAATGGGGAAGTCAGATTTACTTAACAACGATGTCACTAACTCAACAACTACAATGATTCACTTAACAACTGTGGCAAGAAAGGTTGTAAAATGGAGCAAAACTCACTTAACAAATGTTTCATTTTACAACAGAAATTTTGGGCTCAATTGTGGTTGTAAGTCGAGGAATACCTGTAATAGAATCTGGAAAGCCTGACAGAGATTTTCTCTTTCTCCCTTCTTATACTAAAGTGAATAAAGGAGTGCAGTCTTGATTTTTTTTTCTTCACTCCCTGCAGTCTATCTGAGCTAAGTTGATGTTTACACAATAGTTGTTGAATTCCATATTTAAGGCCATCTCTCTCTTGCTCTACGGAAACCACCCAGGAATCTTAGGGCTGAAGGTTAGATTGGGAAGTTAACAAAACATCCCCTAATGGAAATATCTGTAAAGTCACCAGGAAATAGTTCATTTATTAGCTTTCTTTACCACTGCAATTATAAACCCCAGTTAATACACAAAAAGAATATAAAATATTCAAGGTATAGTTATAGTACAAATAGGTTATTTATTATACAAACAGAAAACAATCACCGTTAAGTCTAAAACTGAAGCAATATCTAAAAATGTCACAGGACAATATTAAAGGCTCTCCGGAAGAGCGCCACTTGTCTTAACTTGTTTCTGGATGTTAGGTAAATTTGACTTCCAGAGAAAAGGTGTTCAGTAACATGAGGGCTTCTTATCTCCTGATCTCAACCCCCCCCCCCAGATTTCATGGAATCACCATACTATTTTTCTTAGAATTTTCATATCACACTTTGAGAGAAGAAATTTTGGAGATAGTACAATGCAAAGTCATATAGAATAAAAATAGTACTTTGAATTGTTCCCAGAAATCTATTGGCAATCAATAAAAAATATTAAAAAAATGAGCAGGTGAGCCTCCATGTTGTGTATCAACTGCAGTTTCAGGAAGTCTTTAAAGCAGTCCCGCAGAGCACATTGCAGTAATCCAGCCAAGTGTTAATCAGACAAGGATCTTGCAATCTTAAGTGTTGCAACATTTGAAATTGGACAGAGGTTCTCTTGGCCACAGCCATTTGCCCATCCAATAATAGCTGTGAGTGTTCCCTGGTTGGAGAGTAGTACTCAGAAATAGTGCCTTTCTTTCAAGAGACAATACTAGAGATGACAAAGAACTTCCATGAACAACCAGCAATTCCATCTTACTCAGTTTCAACTTCAACCTGTTTCTTCCCATCTAGATTCTAAAAGCCTCCAGACACCAGGACAAGACTTTGACTGCATCACTTCTATGATCCGGGTGACAATGTACAACTGGGAATCATCAATGTATTGATGTTGCTACACTCTGAACTGATGGATGACTTCTCTGAGTGGCTTCATGTAGATGTAAAAAATAGGAAGGAGAAAACCGAGTTGTATTGCACTGGATCAGTTTTTCCTTCTCTACAGCCATTGACTAGAACTGCCCACTGAGGAAGGAGTGGAATCACTTGACACAGTGCCTTGCATATGGATACCATAGTTGATGGTATTGAAGACTACTGAATGATCTGGTAGGACCAGAAAGTTTATCTTTCCCTTATTGAGGTTCCAGCAAAGGTCATCAATCAACAAGCAGTGTGGTTTCCATCTTACTTATTGCCCTTAATCCTGACTGAAAGCAACCCATATAATCTGTATTCTCTACAGAATACCTCACTACACCCTGAACAACCTTCCCTAAAAGAAAAAGGTTGGAGACAGGGTGATATTTGTCCCATAAGAGTTAAGTTCACTTAGAAGGAGATTTAATTGTTTTTAACACTTTTGTAGTAGTTCACACTAAATGTTCTTTAATGTTAGTACCAGTTAGCATAGACTAAAAATGTAAAATTTCTGGACATTTTGGAGCCTGGAAAAATATATTACTTTATTCTCAGAATAAAGTAATATATGTTTACTTATTTCATATTTCATATTTCAGATAACTGATAGTAATTGATAGGTTAAAATGTTCTACACTGATAACTTATACTATAGTTTCCTTGGTTTTTAATTGCTATGATGTGTATATTCAGTCATTGTGATTTGCAAATTATACTTTGTATGTTTAGTGCAGTGTATTAATTAATCCAATTACAGTTATTCAACAAATCATATTTTTAAGCAAGTATTGAAATTATTTTTTATTTGGTCAGGTGACCTAATTACTTCTGAATTTATTTTGAGAATAAATAAAAAGCTCACGCCATCATCTCAATATGATAAATGTAGAATTTTTATAATAATGATTTTTTCTCTCTGTTATGAGTTATTTTCTTAATTGTATAGAAACTTTGGTAAAGGCTGGTGACTGGTAATGATTTTATTATGACGTCATTTATTCAGAGAATCAGTTTTCCTAAGCAGTTAAATTTTTATTAAGAGTAATATTATATAAAGAGATAATATACAAATAGTCCTTGACTTATACTCACAGTTGGGACCGAAGTTTGTGTCAGTTAGCAATATGGTTATAAAGCATGATGTCATGTGACCACATTGTTTAGTGATGGCAATCCTGGCATTCTCCATTGCCATCATTAATAAAATTCCACCGGTCGTTCGCTGACAACCCACCTCAGGCTGTGTCCTTCCCAACCCCAACCTTCAGCTCCAACCCCAACCCCATTTGCCTATTCTTCCCACATCTCTGTCCTTTTGGCCACCCTGCACCTGCTTTGTGGGGTGGCAAGCAGCCCCAGAACTGCACAGCTGTAGATCTGGAGCTGCAATAAACCCCTAAGCCACAGCATTGCGCAAAGCTTCAGCCACCCCTGGAAGCCTCAACCACCCCAGCTCAGCTGAGCAATGTAACTTAAAGAGGGGTGGTTTTTTTGACATGGTTCTTTGGGCTGCAAAAAGCCCCTGAACTGCAGTGTGAAGCCCTTGTAGTGTGAAGGCCTCACCCAGCAGTATAGTGCAAAGCCATAGCTGCCCCAGGAGGCTATAGCCACCCCTACCGCCCTGTACTTTTAATTCCCTGCCACCCTGTGCTCTCTACCACCCTAGCTGACCGTCACCATCTTATTGCTCCCGTTGCTATGAGATGTGCCTGGCCCTTTGCAAGCCAGCTGCTGGGCATACGAAGCCATCTTCCCCAGGATTTGTGAGGAAGCTGCCGTGCACCACTTGGGGAAAAAAGTATTGTGTGGCCAGAAGGTGCTTTGCACAGGACCAGGCCAGGCATGCTTGGTCAGCAGTGGAAGCAAGAAGACAATGAAAGTCAACTAGTATAGCAGGGGTTACGGAGTGCAGGGAGGTAAAAGGACATAGAGGGGGAAGGAATAGGCAGGTGGGGGAAGTTGAAACATTCCCTGAGATCTTAAATGTGGGCAGGCTGCCAAGGGCCTGGGTTTTGATCACATAACCATGGAGGTGCTGCAACAACTTAACTTAATTGGTTGTAAGTCCATTCAGTGATGCTGTAACTTTGGTCACTGAACAAATGATTGTAAGTCAAGGACTACCTACAGACATAATTTGTTTGATTTCAACTATCAGAACTTGATGTATATTTAAAGAATGACAGCATTTTTTTAGAGGACAATATCCCTCTCCTCATAAACTCTTTTTCCATCCCTCTTTTAACTCTTAAAAGTCAACTCCTTTCTTGCCCTACTTACTACAAAATTTTCTTAATTTTCTGTCCCTCCTTTCTTATAAGAAAATATCCAAGTAACTCTTATCTATTTTAGTAGAATGCAAGTAATGTACCAATTTATCCTAAAGCTAACCATGGCTTAGCACAAAATGTGCTAAGTTTACTTTTAGTCCAAAGCACTAGCTTAGATGCCACTAATTTACCCAGCTTTGGAAGGATGAATGTATGTCTCATTCAGTTTTGTTTTTTTAATGTATAAATGTAGCTTGCACTCTTAGCATTTTTAAATTTCTTTCTCTATTGCCATTTTAGGGTAAGTTATTTTTCAAGGTCCCTTTCACTGTTTATCACTTCTTCTTTTACCTGCATGTTTGCCTAATGAAATGCTAGAGAGAACAGAGTATTTTCTTGGCTGGCATGAATGTTTGTGTATCCTTTAGCTAGAATCTGCTTAAATTAGCACTTCTATTTTTCAAGGACACTATACGACCTTACAGACTATTAGAGTAATAGACGAAAAATAAACCGGAAGACGCAAATAGAAAGTGACCGATATAATAGTGTTATATGTCATGAACGGAACCAATTAACTTAGTGTCAAATAAATAACAATGGTAAAACTGGGTCACAAAACCTAGGTACATTTGGTTGATGTGTCCGATGTAGTCCAAATACCTTTCAGGTATCAGGACTAATTCACGTACCCAAAGGGATTCTCATGTTAATATGCTTGGGTTATTTCAAACAGTGATAAATTGTTAATAAGTTTTTATGGGAAGGGTACATTTCTAGATTTTCTTTATCCAAATTATGGTTACGTTGTGATTGTGATTTTGATTTTTAATATGGCATATGTTTTGACCTCTTGTTTCCAAATGATCAAGACATAAAACTATATGGGCATATATCTTCGGAGGGGCAAGTTTACTTTTAGTCAAAATTTAGCTGTGTTTCCATAATTAAAAGATGCAAGACATATTTGCAAAATATGGGAAGTAAAGTATAATTTTGACACTTATTCACATGATAAATTTATACAGGGATAATTTCAGTTTAAAAACTGCATTAATTTTTATTTTGGAATTCATCAGGAATATTCATTTTTATAATAATTTGACTAAACATTACAATTAAAAAGATAAAAACTAATACAAACTAAAAAAGAAAAGAATAAAAAGAAAAGTGCAGAAAAGAAGAAAAAATTAAAAAAAAGAAAAAGAAAAGATATATAAAGAATAACTTCCCTCTGCATCACAAGTATAAACAATTGTAATAAGTTATCAACTTCTCTTAAAATATAACTAATGATCTCTTCAGGGATAATCATTCTTTAGGATGACTTACTGCAATCAAAATTTTAAACCATTTAGGCTATTACAAAGGGAATTTGGATTGTGTAAATTGTGCAATAGGAGTATACTTAAACAAAACATCTTTTCATTTCGAATTTGGTTTGGATACTTCTACAACATTGAAATTATTAATAGCATTGAGATTTTGGGGGGATATTTATTTAATAATTTCACAATGTTTATATTAAATTTAAGCATGTCTATAGGACTCCTGAATCTATAGCATTTTCGGATGGAGAAAATCTGGGACCAGTGTGGAGAGTATCTCTTCTAAAGTAAACTTAAATAGATTTTACAGATTCAGAATCATTTTTCTCTATACTATACGTGATGTGTCTCTGAAGATTCCCTGGAGAATGGAGACTGAAATGTTGCTAAAGAAAGAAGCAATACAGGTAATCCCTGAGTTACGAGCGTTCACTTAACGCTCATTCGAAGTTACGTAATAAGCACCCCCTAGTGTTTACGAGCAAGTCTCAAAATTACAAATATTGCAGCACCACGGCAGTTGTTCGCCCTTATGAATGATTGAAGAAGCTCTGCAACGTTCGCCCTATTCCCCCACTCCTTACAACTGCTTCCCCCTCCCTTCCTGCCGCGCTGGACACACTCACCTTGCAATATCTGTCTCCTCTTTGCCGTGGTTTCTTTCCCTTTGAGGGAGAGGAGATTCAGCTTGGAAATGCTTTTCATGCCGACAGTGGAAGCTCCTGGGTGCCGTAATATTGTGCAAGTTCAAATACAAATTCCCTGCAAAAGACATGGCCCCCAGAAGCTTCCATTCTCGGGGGGGGGGGAGTGTTTGCTTTGTTTGCATGCCTATGGAGCAAAGTGTGGAATCGAAATCGGCCAGACACAGGAACCAATGCCGTCCGTGGCCCAGGTGTGCTGCTCATTCGCGTGTGTCAGCCTTAGTTTGAGGGCAGAAATGAAGCCTTCAACTGTGTGCGGAGGCATTGCGGAGCCAGGCTCCTTGTACTTGTGTCCAAGCTGGCAGCAGCAGCCTCCACCTGAGCAGCCATGATCCCCCCTCGCCAGCCAGCCGGCCATCCCGCCCGACCTACTCCTTGCTTGACTAGCTGGCTGGCACAAATCCTGACCGTTCTTTTCTTGTTGTCCTCCCTACTCAAGTGGCAGTAGTGGCTTGAGTTTCTTGGCTCCATTTGAGTGGAAAATGCAGGCACAGCAACAGGATTGCTCTCAATAAGGCTGGTGCACGCGAGCGAGCAGTGCACTCGGGTCTTTTTGAGAACAGTCCTGCTGCTGCATCTCCCCTTTCTTCCACTTGAACGGAGCCGAGAAACTCAAGTCACTGGTGGTTGCAGCCACCAGAGCAGCCATGATTCCCCCTCTCCAGCCAGGCACCCACCCTGCCTGACCTACTCCTTGTCTGGAGGCCGGCTGACCGCTCTTCTCCTTGTCATCCTCCCTACTCAAGCCGTGGTAGCACCTCGAGCTTCTCGGCTCAATCCAAAAAGAAGAAAGTGGAGACACAGCAGCAGGATTGCTCTCAAGAAGACCTGGGTGCACTGCTCGTTCCCATGTGCCAGTCTTATTGAGAGCAATCCCGTTGTTGCGC